TTAACATTTAATGGGTTAAGATGTGTTCAGGTTCAGTAGCTGAAAGTGAAGTGCAATAATGTTTTCTGGACAATATTAGAAACATAGTTTTATTTTCTTTGGTTGAAGGCTCTAGGGAGACCTACGGAAGCAATCATGTGTTATCAGCATGCGTTACAGATGAGGCCAAATTGTGCAATGGCATTTGGTGAGTGTAATTTGATCAACAAAATGTAATAAAATATACTTGCTCAAGTATATGCGTGATGTCTTATTCATTATTGACATATAACTATTAAAATGCAGGGAATATAGCCAGTATATACTATGAGCAAGGTCAACTAGATTTAGCAATTCGACACTACAAGCAGGCCATCTCCCGAGATCCGCGATTTTTAGAGGCGTACAACAACTTGGTCAGCATTAACAACAAACATTATGTGGGGTTTTTGTTTGAACTATGTTTTTAAGTATTCTAATATATGATCATTTTTTGCATTTTCAACTTAAAGGGTAATGCATTGAAGGATATTGGACGAGTCGATGAAGCAATTCGGTGTTATAATGTATGTGTGGTTCTATCTGTGACTTACTAGTGAATTTGCATATTACTCACAAACCTGTGATTATACTGCAGCAATGTCTTGCTTTACAACCAAATCATCCACAAGCAATGGCCAATCTTGGAAATATTTATATGGAGTGGTATGTGATCCTTTCTTTCTTCTTGCTAGATGGAGAATATTATAAATTACCATAAACTCCATTTCACAACTTTGAACAGGAATATGATGGGTCCTGCTTCCTCATTATTCAAGGCTACTCTGGCTGTAACGACAGGGCTATCTGCTCCGTTCAATAACCTTGCAATAATTTACAAGCAACAGGTGGCTATGTGCTCCACTATCAATGTTTAATCATTTTTGTAGTCTTGTACATGTTTGACGAATGTAGCTTGTTTTTCTGCTTTACTACAGGGAAATTACTCGGATGCTATATCCTGCTATAATGAGGTTCTTCGTATTGACCCATTGGCAGCTGATGCCCTGGTTAATAGAGGGAATACTTACAAAGAGATTGGGAGGGTAACTGAAGCAATTCAGGATTACATGCATGCTATTACTTTCCGGCCTACAATGGCTGAAGCTCATGCAAATCTGGCCTCAGCTTACAAGGATAGGTAACCATTGTCTGTATCTTGCATATATTATGTATTTTCAGGCACATGTTCAAATAGAGAAAAAAACATCTTTGCCTTGAAGGAAAAGACCTTACTCAAGAAGCATTTTGTGTATTTCACTGTTCCTGAATAGCTTATGGTGTCATAATTCTTAAAATGACTGACAACTGTCATACTTCACTAGAAGCCTTTGTATCTCTACTTACAGTTTCTTAAGGTAGTTTCGTGTTAGGCTCTTGTTTTCTGGGATTTAGAACATTTAAGATGTGGGAGTCTAACAATGAGTCAATGACCACCTCTTAACTGTGGAGATAGTATGTTCAATCAGAAAAATATTTGTTTTATGTATCTTTTTTTACCTTTTTGCATAAGCAGTGGGCATGTGGAAGCTGCCATTACGAGCTATAAGCAGGCCTTGCTATTACGACCAGACTTCCCAGAAGCAACGTGCAACCTTCTGCACACCTTACAGGTATTTATTTTTCGTGGTTTTGATGTCATACATTTAAATCATAATTTCTGTCTCCATTTCCTAGCTCTTGTTAACTTTCTCTTTGTCTTCCATTAATGTTTTCTTCTTTCCTGCTGTTGTACCAGTGTGTATGCTGTTGGGAAGACCGGAGCAAAATGTTTGCTGAAGTTGAAAGCATTATTAGGAGGCAAATAAATGTAAGTATTTACACACCACAATTTTTTTGGTACTTTGTATGCTATTACTGAATAAGATGATAGCATTTTCCTGTTGATCCTATCTTCAGATGTCGGTCCTCCCTAGTGTCCAGCCCTTCCATGCAATAGCATATCCTATTGATCCTATTCTTGCCCTTGAAATCAGGTTTGAGACTGGTTTTCAATACTCAATACTCATGAAAATACATGTTTATTTTATCTGTGTATAAGCCTATTCCTTATAAATCCCCTATATTTTCAGTCGTAAATATGCTGCACACTGCTCCATAATCGCTTCTCGTTTTGGACTACCTCCTTTTACTCATCCAGCTGGGCTCCCTGTAAAACTTGAGGGGGGATTTAAGAGATTAAGGATTGGATATGTGAGCAGTGATTTTGGTAATCATCCATTGTCACACCTCATGGGCTCAGTGTTTGGGATGCACAACAGAGAAAACGTTGAGGTTTGTATCTTGCATTTGGATTTGATCCATGTCGTAGCTCTGCTCTGATTTTTATAGCGAGAGTTAGGTTCTTCAACCCAATGTTTTTTTAAGTAAGGCTATAAAATGCATGCATACTGGGTTGAGTTCTTCTAATGGGAGGAATATATAGAACCGAATGGGTCCGGTTTGTGGAATATAGGATTTTAGTAATTGATGGTATATCATTCTGTATCTGCCTATCCTGTTTTTGGGATTTCAGCAAAACAAATAACATTTTTTTTCCAGGTTTTCTGCTATGCATTGAGTGCCAATGATAATACTGAGTGGAGACAGCGTATCCAGTCAGAAGCCGAGCATTTCCTGGACGTTTCTGCTATGCCATCCGATGCTATTGCCAAAATTATAAATGAAGACAAAATCCAGATCCTTATTAATCTAAACGGTTACACCAAGGCATGCTCTGACATTTCAGAAACATTTTACTCTGGAGCTGTACCCATTCCTAAGGAAATGTTTTTGGTAACATTTGCTTGTTTTTAATCTATTCAGGGAGCTAGAAATGAAATATTTGCCATGCAGCCTGCACCGATCCAGGTTTCATATATGGGCTTCCCTGGTACAACTGGGGCAACCTATATTGACTATCTAGTGACTGACGAGGTTTGCAATGAATTAGAATTTTCCAGATTTCTTCCGAATTTTTTCTCGTTGTTATGACTAATACACTCTTTTACTATTCAGTTTGTGTCTCCTCTGCAATATGCACATATTTACTCAGAGAAGCTGGTCCATCTTCCCCATTGTTACTTTGTGAATGATTACAAGCAGGTATGCTCAGACAAAAGTTATCTCCGCCATGATATTTATGTACACTTTCATCACTTCCACAGTCATTATAAAACTCTATAAATTCTATTTGCAGAAAAATCAGGATGTGTTGGATCCAAATTCTAAACCCAAACGATCAGACTATGGACTTCCTGAAGACAAATTCATATTTGCATGCTTCAACCAACTGTACAAAATGGATCCTGAGATCGTTAATACATGGTAAATGTTTAACAAAATTTTTTCAGATTTCCTTGAAATTAACATCCTTACATAAAAACCCTAAACCCTTAACCTTAAACCTAAACCCTTGATAGTGTAATTGAATGTAGCTCGGTAAAGATATTAATTTATACATTCGCAAATTGATTTGTTTTTATTTATAGGTGCAACATTCTTAAACGAGTACCCAACAGTGCTCTTTGGCTTCTACGTTTTCCAGCAGCTGGAGAGATGAGGTTTCGCACATGTACGTTTGATTCCATTCCTTTGCCTAGCATTGTCTTGTTCTTTCTGCTTGCGCTGTCATTTATAATCTTGTTCTCTGATCTCTATCCAGATGCTGCTGCCCAAGGAGTACAGCCTGATCAGATTATCTTCACTGATGTTGCCATGAAGAGTGAACATATCAGACGAAGTGTCCTTGCTGATGTAATCCTTGACACGTGAGTTCTTTTGCGTCTCAACTCGTTTCATCTGTTGTGTACTATATTTAAAAAAACAACACAAAACTTATTTTTGCAACAAGTTTACCTTCCCCTACCCTTTCCTGTCCTGTCATTAGGCCTCTGTGCAACGGACACACAACGGGAACAGATGTGCTGTGGGCTGGTGTACCTATGATAACATTACCACTTGAGAAAATGGCAACTCGAGTGGCTGGATCACTCTGCCTTGCAACTGGTCTGGGCCATGAGATGATAGTTAACAGGTACGTCTAAGCAGAAACCAACTTTTACTGTCTTCAATATCCTCTGTTTTGTTGTATGTTGATGAGATATTCATAACAATTGTGAACCAGCTTGGAGGAGTACGAAGAGAAGTCTGTCTCTTTGGCACTGAACAAGCCAAAACTTGAGGCATTGACTAAGGAATTGAGGGCTAGCCGCTTAACATGTCCTCTATTTGACACCACCCGCTGGGTTAGTGACGAAACACTTTCTTGACTGTATTCATCTCTCGTGCGGTTTATATTTCTTGACCAATGAACTCTCTTGGTTATTACAGGTGAAGAATCTGGAGAGGTCATACTTCAAAATGTGGAACATCCATTGCTCTGGACAGCAGCCACAACACTTCAAGGTGTTGGAAAACGACCTAGAATTCCCACATGACAGATGAACAATGAGGGAAAGAAAATTAAAACACAGGAGGAACCGGCATTGTAAATAAAAAACCGAAGAGAAATTAGTAGCAGAAAAATTGATAAATTATCAGGAGGAGGTAGAAGATTATTATTATTTGAGCTGTGTACCATAAAACAAGCTGGCTGTGTTGTCCTATGTTTTCCATTACCGGAGCATGTGGAATATCTCAATGTAACATTAACATTACATAAAACATATAAAATGATGATTTGAACCAAAAGGTATCCCAAAACTTGCAAGTTGCTACCAAATTTGTACAAGAACCAATCTTTTTAAATTGTATAATCTGAACTCTGAAGCCTAATGTTGCAGAGAATCTCTAATTCCGTCTGCCAGGCAAGCAAACATCGGTTTTGCCAAGCTTCGAAATTGGACGAAATCAAGCCTGTTTATCTAAGTCATATAACAGCCCATACTTTTACCCTAATTTAGTTTAATGGGCCTTCAAATTCAGCCCATCACAACGTTGACCTATAAAAGCCTGTTGCTTCTTTTTCTACACGCTGCATTAGGGTTTTTTGTCCTTCTTCTCTCATATATACGCTTTGGCCGCAGGTAAGCAGAGAATCATAATAAAACCCTAGCTATGGCGACCCAGCCGGCGAAAGAGTCAGTTCAATGCTTCGGAAGGAAGAAGACGGCCGTTGCCGTCACACACTGCAAACGCGGTACTGGGATGATCAAGCTGAATGGCTCGCCGATCGAGCTTCACCAGCCAGAGATCCTCCGATACAAGATCTTCGAGCCGATCCTACTCCTCGGAAAACACCGTTTCGCGGGAGTGGACATGAGGATCCGTGTCAACGGTGGAGGAAACACATCTCAGGTGTACGCAATCCGTCAGAGCATCGCAAAGGCCCTCGTAGCTTACTACCAGAAGTATGTTGATGAGCAGTCGAAGAAGGAGATTAAGGATATCTTGGTGAGGTACGACAGGACTCTTCTTGTTGCGGATCCGAGGAGGTGCGAGCCGAAGAAGTTTGGAGGTCGTGGTGCTCGTTCTCGTTTCCAGAAGAGTTACCGTTAAACAACATCTGGTTTGCTTCTTTTGCGTCTCTGCTCAACGTTTTTGGGGTTTAAAGTGTTGAAATTGTGAGACTTTAGATTCTCTCTGTGTTTGCGTTTATTTTTAATGAGGTTATTGGATAATGGTTACTTCTCCTAAGAACTTATGTTTCACTATCTAAATCTTTATGCTGTTTCATTTTTATCTCTCTATGTGATACGTCTCTGTTTTGATGAAATTGATTAATTGATCTGTGTTGGTCATACTCTCTTACTCCCATTACTCTTTGAAGCCATTCGGTATTTATGGATTTGTATAGGCATTTCGCTTGTAGTTGCTAAGAGTTCCTTCTTTTGCAAAATTGATCGACAATTCGGGCTTTGAATTGCTCTGATTGTAAGTGTTTCCCATCTAATTTTACTGACTAGAGAAACGAAGATAACTTTCACATTGCTTCAGAACTTGCATATGATGTCTTGTTTTGCAGAGTACTATTCATTGAAGAGTTCATTGCTCTAGGTTTTATTAGTTCATAGCACATTGTTGTTGAAATGAAAAACGCTGACGTGTGTGGTTTCTTCTCTTGTTAACTTGGTAAAACTTTTCTTCTTCAAACAAAACTCCAAGCAATTCTCTTTGTTCCTCCTTGTCCGTGTCTGATTGAATCAAAACTCTAACTTTCAGCTTCTGGAATAGAAACATGACCAAGCAGCCCTTGAATTTACAATACACTAATTTAGTAAATTTCGTAACTCTGAAAATAATGTAGTTCGTGATTTCCTTGAACTTACGAATCATTAATTTTGTTTCATCTTTTAGAAATAAGTTGACAAAATTGGAAAATTATATCATAGAATTAAACGATGATGAAAACAAAAATTAAGTAGCGGGGTTTTTTTGTTTTTTGTTTAATCAGTAGAGTTTGTGTGTGGTTAACGTTCTTGGTAATAAATGTGCGATATATCTTAGTTTCTAACTCCAAAAATTTAAAGCTATTAATGTAGCTAATGCTTGGTTCACACTTACAGATCACCAGCAGTAGAAAGATGTAATTGTCTTTAAAAAAAAAAAAAAAAAAAGACATAAGAAAATATATGCAATGAATTTCTCTATGCTATATATTTTAGCATAAGCTTCTCATCCAACACTCTTTCCACTCAACTTTTGGTTTTTAATTAGAATTAAAAAAAAAAAATGGAATTGCTTCTTCGCCTGCTTGTAGCTCAAGTAATCATGTTGGCTTTATCATGTTCATTTGTATCTTCTTACGACCCAAATCCTCTTCAAGACTTTTGTGTTGCCGCCAACGAAACTAATAGAGGTATATAGTCTCGAATATACTAAAGTGGTCGGTCTATAATCTTTTTAATACTAATATATTTATATTTTATATCAAACGATGATTTAGCACACGTCTTTTCTTTCTTCTAGTGTTCGTGAATGGAAAAGTCTGTAAAGATCCAAAATCAGTAACGGCAAATGATTTCTCTTATTCGGGATTAAACATGGCGAGAAACACAACCAGCTTCATTGGTTCTAATGTCACAACCGTAGATGTCAACAAAATCCCTGGCCTCAACACCCTCGGAGTCTCCCTCGCTCGCTTAGACTTTGCTCCGGGAGGTCAAAACCCACCGCACATACATCCACGCGCCTCTGAAATACTCATGGTAGCCAAAGGAAAACTCCTGGTTGGGTTTGTTTCTTCGAACCAAGACAACAATAGACTTTTCTCCAAGGTTCTTAAGCGTGGAGACGTTTTTGTGTTTCCCATTGGTTTGATACATTTTCAAATGAACGTTGGGAGGACGAGGGCGGTCGCGTTTGCTGGGTTTGGGAGCCAGTTTCCTGGCACCATCACGATCGCCGACGCGGTTTTTGGATCGGACCCTTCGATTCCTCGAGAGGTTTTGGCTAAAGCTTTTCAGTTAGACGCAAACTTGGTTAGATTTCTCCAGATAGTGTTTGGTCCTGCATTATGGTCGTAGGATATTTTTATGGTAATAAGTTTTTACGATGGATGATAATATAATAAGTAGGAAAAAAATTACATGATTGGCTACAAATTATTGTATATAATTTGTTACCGAGTAAAATTAAAACAATATATTATGTGTCAATATGTAAGGGGGTTCTTTAACAAAAAAAATAAAAATATGTAAGGGTTTTTATTTTTTATATAACACAAATATAAGGTTTAATAACATTTTAAATAAATAAATAAGCCACCAAAAAGGGCTTTTATTAAAATAATGAAAAATTTTGTTAATAGAACAAACAAACTATTATTTAGACTGATATATGAACTTAAATTGTTCAAAATAAGTGGTTAATATTTTCTGATTATCTGCGTGGTTAATGTTTTGGTTGTGTGCAAGAATAAAATATATGTATGCTTGTAGCCTTTGATCATGATTTCAAACAAAGGACAATCACTTCTTTGATCATGACATCAAACAAATTTAAGGTCGCTGAATCCAATGGTTTTTACTGTTGATGATTATATTATGATTTGCGTTTATGTGTTAAATTATTACAGTTATTTAAAATACATTACGTCATCATAACTACACATAAAAAATAAAAGGCAAAAACCTATGTCACATATATAATTATGTTTATCATTTATGTAAATTTTTTTAGAAAAAATATATTATGTAAAACACACAAAAATGTTTAATGGGAACGCAATACAAACTCAAATGAAACAGTCAGGTTTTACAGATTTAATAAATAAACGCAAAAGGATGAAAGTCCCAGAATTTAAAATTTTCTTGAATTGGGCTTTGGATTTTCCGTAAAAACTCGATCAATCTATTATCTATAGTAGATGTAAATTCCTTGTAAACTAAAATCAACTTTTTTTTGGACGGCTTCTTTAGGCTATATATATTGCGCATGCAATGTTTCTCATGCAGCATGGCTTAATTCACAAAGTAAGGGAAAACAAATTAAACCATACGTACTAATCAACATTTCTGTAATTAGAACAAAAATAAAAATAATAAAAATGGAAGGTCTTCTTCAATATCTCTTAGCTAAAATCATATTGCTGGCTTTAGCATCTTCGTTTGTATCGTGTTACGACCCATCTCCTCTTCAAGACTATTGTGTTGCCGTCAACGATATAAATCGAGGTAATCTCTATATATTGCACATATATGACTCTTTTGATACATACACTATATATGACACATACTTATATAGTATAACCTAGTTCTATCATACAAACCTTTAAACTGACTTTTAATTAGCAGATTTTGTAAATGGAAAGTTCTGTAAAGATCCAAAACTTGTAACGGCGAATGACTTTTATACATCCGGCCTAAACGTACCCGGAAACACGAGCACTGGTCCCGGCTCCACAATCACCGCCGTTGATGTTGAAAGATTGCCTGGTCTCAACACTCTCGGGGTCGGCATTGCCCGCATTGACTTGGCCCCGGGCGGTCAAGTCCCACCTCATACGCACCCGCGTGGCAGTGAGATCTTGTTAGTCATCAAGGGAAAGCTTTTCGTTGGATTTGTGTCGTCGAACGAATACAACTTTACGCTCTTCACCAAAGTTCTTTATCCCGGAGATGTATTTGTGTCTCCCAAAGGTTTGATACAATTTCATGCAAATATTGGGAAGACAAACGCGGTCGTGATTGCTGCGGCTGGGAGCCAGAATCCTGGTAGGATCGTCATTGGTGATGCGGTTTTTGGATCGAAGCCTTTGATTGATCGGAAGGTCTTGGCTAAAGCTTTTGCGTTGGACATGAAGAAAGTGAAATATCTTCAGTCAGTGTTTTCTTTGGAAGATGACATACGTTATTAATTAGCCTAAGAGAATGAAATGATACTAATAGATAAAATATAGTTATGAAGAAATAATTTGATGATTATCTTGTATGTGTGGGAAATAAATATGAAAAACGTGTATAGTGCGCTAATTAATTTAAAAACAATTTGAAAGAAATTAATAAAGTTAAATAAGTGTAATATGGGAATTAAATAGTTTCTTTCAAATTTTATTTTTTTCTTATAAACGGATGAAATATGGGAATTATAATGAGTTTTGTGAACCTATTCCAGTGGAATACAAACAAAGCTGAAAATGTCGAACGAAACTTCAATAACGCGGTACAATAAGCGTAAATCAAATCATACGAACGAAGATGTAACATATGCATGTATGTATATGTTGTTTCTTCTAAATACTTTCTATGAAATTAATTAATATGGGCCGTATAGAGAGATTAATGGGCCTAATTAAATGGCTTGGTATATAGGAAACGTTTGGTTTCGTTTCGAATCACACAATTCAATTCACAGCGTTTTCAGTGAAGTTCGCCGTCGCCGGAACTCATGGATCGACCACCGTCGTTTCCGCACAATCAAAACCCTAATCCGAACTTCTTTCACCATTATCCTCCTCCAAACCCTAATCCTAATTTCTTCTTTCGACCTCCTCCACCTCCTCTTCAGAATCCTAACACTTACTCCATTGCTCCATCTCCGCCGCCGATTCGCGAGCTCTCCGGTACTATCACCTCTTTACAATCACTGTTGTCGGAATGTCAAAGAACCTTAGATTCTCTCTCGCAAAATCTAGCTTTAGACCACTCTTATCTTCTCCAGAAGGGCGGAAATGGCGGTTTCGTTCGTTGCCCTTTTGATTCAAATCACTTTATGCCACCCGAAGCTCTCTTTCTCCACTCACTCCGTTGCCCAAATCCTCTTGACCTCACTCACCTTCTTGGATCTTTTAGTAGTTACCGGAACACACTCGAATTACCCTCTCAAGTACAGCTGAGCAATGATGCTGGAGATCTCTGTGTCTCCTTAGATGAGTTAGCTGATTTTGGAACTAATTTCTTCTACAAAGATTGTCCAGGAGCTGTGAACTTCTCTGAGCTCGATGGAATAAAGCCAACTTTAACACTTCCTAACATTCTATCTTTGGAATGTAGCGATTTGCAAGTTGCTGATGAGAAGGAGAATAATAGTATGTTAGGGATTCTACCGTCTGATCTCTGTGCAATAAAGAGTGAGATTAATCAATGGAGGGATTACCCAAATTCGTATTCCTATAGTGTTCTTTCTGCTATGCTGGGTTCAAAAGCGATTGAAACAAGCGAGTTGAACTCATGGATTCTGGTTAATTCTACGAGATATGGTGTAATAATTGATACTTACATGAGGGATCATATATTCTTGCTCTTCCGGTTGTGTCTGAAATCGGTTGTGAAAGAAGCTTGTGGATTTATGATGGAGCCTGATGCCAATGGCGTTGGTGAGCAGCAGATTATGAGCTGCAAAAGTAGAATATTTGAGTGTCCAGTCTTGGTTCGAGTGTTGTCTTGGTTAGCTTCTCAACTTGCTGTCTTATATGGAGAAGGAAATGGGAAGTTTTTTGCTCTAGATATGTTTAAACAGTGCATAGTAGAATCTGCCTCTCAAATAATGTTGTTTCGGTCAGAAAGAAGCACACCTCAATCCTCTGGAGCACTCGAGGGTTTGGATGATGCAAGGTTGAGTAATAAGGATGTGAAGATGGAGAAACCCTGCGAGAATAGTGCTTTGGACAGTGCTCAGGTGATATCTGTGTCCCGTGTTGCAGCAGCTGTTGCAGCATTGAATGAAAGATCCATGCTTGAAGGGAAAATTAGGGCAATACGATATGCCCAACCACTAACAAGATATCAGCGGTATGTTTTAAATCTTTCAAAAGCTATTAATCAATTCATGTTTGGATCTGACTTTGATTCCTCATGATGTCTCCGTCCATCTGTAGGCTGGCCGAGATTGGTGTTATGAGAGCTAAAGCTGAGGAAGAACGGAAAAGACGTTCTAGCTACCGACCTATTATTGATCATGATGGTCTTCCAAGGCAACGCTCATCAAATCAGGTTAATAGTTAATACCAAACAAACTGTTATATAACATGAAAGATACAAATATTGCTGTAGGGAACTTTTATTGAAGGAACTGAACTATATATATTTATGTTTTATAATGTGTATAATGTGTAGGATATGAATAAAATAAAGACAAGAGAAGAGCTTTTAGCTGAAGAGAGAGATTACAAGCGTAGGAGAATGTCATACCGTGGTAAGAAGGTGAAACGTACGCCTAGACAGGTAGGAAGCGGTTTCCTTTTTCGTGCCTACAATAATCACAATTTCTTGAGTTGTGAATGTTTTGCTGCAAAATGATCAACAGAGTATATCTGCATAGAAAAAGTGTAGAATGCAGAAGTGAGAAAAATTGTCCGTTGCTAATATTATACTTTCATTATGACTATAGTTCAGTTAGCAATAAACTTACATTATCAGCTTCCTTCAGTGAGTTTTCCAAATCTTTTGTCTTGTAGGTGTTACGTGATATAATAGAAGAATATACAGAAGAAATTAAGCTAGCAGGAGGGATTGGATGTTTTGAGAAAGGAATGCCATTACAATCCCTGTCTTCTGTAGGCAACGATCAGAAAGAAAGTGACGTTGGATACAGTTCTGCACCATCAACATTAACAGATGCATCATCAAAATTCTATAAGCAACGGAAAGAAGAGAACCGTGCAGATACTGAATATTCAAAGGATAATAGAAACAATATAGATAAAGTAAACCGGCATGAGGAGTATGATTCAGGTAGCTCGCAGAGACAGCGGAGGCACAGGTCATATAAGCACAGTGATCAAAGACATGACAAGCACAGTGATCGAAGAGATGATGAATTCACAAGGAACAAACAACATAGCCTCGAAAAGAAGTCTTCTCATCAAAACCACAGATCATCTCGTGAGAAGAGTTCATCAGATTACAAGACCAAAAGGGATGATTCTTATGACCGCCGCAGTCGGGAACCTAGGAATCAAAATTCGTTTGAAGATAGATACAATCCAACAGAAAGGGAGTGAATTTAAAAAGAAGGTAAGTCATTTTTAACCACCTCTTAATCTCCTTATCACTGTGTGGGCTAGTCTGACTTTGAAATGGGGTGCCATATCCCGATGATCTTGCAGTAAAAGTTTACCTGGAGCATCAGCAATTTTGTGTGAATCCGTATCCTCTTTTGTATCCTTAATCAGATTCTTACCTTGTTTGATGCATCTAAGTGTTCATCACAACCTTATCTGTGTTTATCTCACTTGGTGATACTCAATTTCCAGATCTCTTGTATATATAGATTCACTGTAGTTACCATTCCTGTCTATATATATTCAGTTTCTTTTTTCTTCTCTTGGTTGTGACAGATGAAGTATGTTCTTGCTATGAACACGCCATGAGCCATGAGATTGCTGGGAAGAAATGCCAAACTCCACAACTGTTCGTAATTGTGAGAGACTCATATGTTCTTAAGTCTGTTGTTACTTCTGAACTTATGAAAATTGATGTAGATGATAGAACACCAGATTGAGTGATGTAATATGTACTGATTTAGCTTATGTTCATGTTCCAGTTTTCCCTCAAACTTCTCGAATTCCTGTCATAGCATATTATTACTTAAACCGACGAAAACAATAACAGAAAACACCGTAACAAAAAAAAAAAGGTAAAACCAAAACCAGTAATAGCGTGTGTCAGCAAAAGAGTAATTTGCATCTTCAGGAACTGGAGCTGCTAGAGCAATTGGCCAACAGGATTCTTCGAATGCTGAATAAAAAGTTGGACAAAAGCGACTACACGAGACGTTTCTGTAGGAGTCAGTATCACATCTCTCCTTCCTCCTAAATCTCTTCAAGTTCCGGCCAATATTCCTCAATTCTTAAAAACAGACCAAGCTCTTCAATCCTCCGAGTTCTTGCCATATAGGATCCACCACAGAGTTTCACCATCTCCCTCTCAGTTTCCAAGTGATCTTCAACATTGAATTTGGCTTCTTCTCCCAACTCTTCTAATGCAAGCCGTTCCCTACATAGCACTTTCAACCTGGCGGCTCTAGTCTCACCTTCAATTCTAGCTTTCACTTCACGTTGCCTTCTTTCCAAAAGTTGCTTTTCTTTCTGCATTTTCTTCATCACATCAGTCTTGTTACCACTCTCGTCAATGACCTTTCTATATCTGGCTTTCACGATAGTATCTGCAAAACGAATCCCGATTGTTGCCGCACGAAGAGCCTTGGTAGGAGATAAGGGCATTAAATATTGATCGTTTCTGCTCTCAGGCTTATCCTCTTTGCTCTGCTTTTCCACTGGATTTGTCGAACGAGAAACCTTTTGGTCCAAGTAAATGCTCCCACAGGCTAACTTCTTCTTTACCGACTCCCATCTGAGCTCAAAAATCCTCATAAGCTTCTTAGCGTCCTTGTGAAGCGGATTCTCAGGAGGATAATAGCGAATCGCATTCGTGAAGACTAATCGAACATCTTTGGGAAACCCTTCAGCAATATTTACGTAGAGATTCTTGGCGAGTTTGGACTTGATTGTGACGAAATCCATAGGCTTTGATATAACAGAGAAATAGTCCGCAATTTCAACGACCAGCTCCTCAAAACGCCAACCAGACCATTCGTCTCTCATCGACTTTAGTACCTTTAGACACACACTATACAAGGACAACTCGCGATCCAGCTTTGGCTTCTTCTTCATATTTGCCTGATCAACCTCTTCTACATCTTCAGCTCCACGCTTCTTCCTCGTTAGATTGGCTTCAGAGCCAACGTTTATCCTCAGTTTGTTTTCTGTAACCATTCTTACAAAGATGAGGAAAAACCGACAGTGAACAGCACAAACCCTAGTTAAAACAGAAAGTCTTCGTGTTCGATCATACAGGGAGTCGTCACACGAAGAACAACTGAGGGAAGCTAGGGTTTTGACCTTTTGTTGAAGTTATGGTGAGAACTGTTTTGGGGTTTTTAAATAGGGTGTCTTACTCCTAATTACATTTGAAATAGCGTTTGGTCTGCACAAAGATATGATAGGAAAAGGAAACTAAGTACTTTTATCAAAACAAAAAAAAAGGAAAATCGTAATCCAAAACAAGATCTAATTAATTTACTAGTTATCCCAATAGCAAAAAAAAAACAACGAAAATAATACTTTCGCACTTCAATTTCCATGTATAAAAACCAATAATCTATTTTTTTATTACATTTATATGAATTTAATTAATGTAACCCCTGAGCTAGGGTTAGTTTACGTGTGACAAAAGAAAAAAAAAAGTTATGTATTATCAAGAAGAAACCAAAGATATCACTCGTTTGAAACTCCGTGAGCGGAGACGATGACACAGACGATGAACGATCAATAGCTAATCCTTAACCTTCCAAACACAAGTATCAGTTCATATCATAAAAGATCATTGTTTCTTCATCGCTGGTGTACTTCTCCCTAATTCAGAAGATACAGTCTGAAACGGCGACGAACAAGCTGACGGCGGAGGTTTGAGAGAATATTCAGACACCACCGGAGGCGAAAACATGAACCCCGGAGGTTCTTGAACAAATTATAGACTCCTGTTTCTTTAGTAGCTTAAGTGTTTGATCATAACAGTGCTTTTTAATTTCTAAAATTACAAATGTGCGGTTAATGTGTTACTGTATGCTTAATGCGTTTGTTGTGTGCAAGTTTAATATGCGCATGCTTGTATACTTTGATCTTCAAGCAAACTATCATCACTTCTTCTCACGTTTAAAATTTTGATATGCATTTATCAATTTTATTCCTGTTATTAATATAAACATTGTAAAACTGTTTTAAAAGTATAACAGAAGTCCAAAAGTTTTTGTTTTTTTGTTTTTTGCATTACAGTGTCATGTCATATAAGATTAAATTATAATATAAGTCCATAAATACAATGGTCCAAAAGGCAACTGTTTACAAAAAAAAAAAAAAAATCTGTGAAATAATCTTATATGACATGACACTGTAATGCAGACAATAACTCAAATGAAACGGTCAAATCTCACACGTTAATAATTAATTAATTAACAACATATTAGTAAATTAGGCATGAAAGTCCCAAAATTCCAAAATTTCTTATATTGGGTATTGATAATTCCGTAGAGAAAGCAAGCTATTATGTATTTTAGATGTAATTTACTACTTGTAAGCTAAAGTCAGATGATTTTGGACGACTTCTTGGCCTATATATATAGCGCATGCCATGCAGCATCGCTCAATCCACAAAAACATTTTTCATTTGTAGAATATAATGAAAGGTCTTCTTCAGTTTCTTTTAGCTAAAATAATCTTGTTGGCGGCTTTAGCATCTTCATTTGTATACTCTTACGACCCAAACCCTCTTCAAGACTACTGTGTTGCAACCAACGAAACTAATGGAGGTACCTAATTAAGCTCTATTTGTTGCATATACATATGGCTCCTTTGATATCTTTGAAACATGATATATTAATACCGAAAATCATACGCGTGGCCCCTAAGTCTGTTGTACCAAACTATATATTATGTTTATATCAAACATATTTTATACATAAGTGCAAATTAACGTAGTTGTTTCATTTGTATTCTAAAAGAATGTTTGATAAACATTAGAACACATTGTATGATGCTTTTTAAAGCAAAACAAGATATATAAGTACTATAGAGTCAACAGTATACACCAATATCAGTTCCATATTTTAAACCGTCACAAATTATATAACAATGATTAATATATGATGTAACCACTTTATATCGTTCAAACTTCAACACCGTCGTTACTTTGTATTTGTTTTCGCAGTTTACGTGAATGGAAAATTCTGTAAAGACCCAAAACTAGTAACTGCGGATGATTTTTTCTATTCCGGCTTAAACATCCCCGGAAACACCAACAACCGCCTTGGCTCAACGGTCACGGATGTTGATGTCAGAAGAATTCCTGGTCTCAACACTCTTGGCGTTGCCATAGCCCGCTTTGATTTCGCTCCGGGAGGTCAAATCCCACCGCACATACACCCACGAGCCTCCCAGATCATCTTAGTCCTCAAGGGAAAGCTCTTAGTCGGATTTGTGGCGTCAAATGACTACAACTATACGCTATTTTCCAAGGTTCTTTATCCCGGAGATGTATTTGCTTTTCCCATCGGTTTGGTACAGTTTCATGCAAACATTGGGAATACAAATGCGGTTGCGATTGGCGTAGTCGGGAGTCAAGACCCTGGTGTAATCCCAATAGGTAACGCAGTTTTCGGGTCGAAACCTTTGATTGATCCAAAGCTTTTGGCTAAAGCTTTTGCGTTGGACGTGAACACAGTGAGACATATCCAGGGGGTGTTTTCTAACGAAGATTACATAGTTAATTAGTTCAAAAGAATGTATAATAATAACAATAAAACATATCTTGAATAAGTTAATTATATAGGCAGGTACAAGTATGTAATAAGTGTTGGAAATACAGAGTATCTACAATTTGTAAAATAAATGTGAAAATATGTAAGGTGCTCTTTTAAGACAATTTGTAAGAAAATAATTAAGTGAATGAATTAACATAAGCCAAAAAACATTTTGAAAGACCGGGAATGAGATATAGGCAATAGAGGAGAGTGAGCATCTTTTTGAAAGGGCTTTAAATAAGAATCGTGAAACTTGAAAGATGAAACATCTCGTTTTCTCGTGTCACATTTGTTATGGATATTTGTGGGTATTCACTGTTCTGCTTCTCCTCTTGACGCATGTATAGCCACTGGATAGGAATTGGAAAACAAAAGGAAGCGAAGTACTATTTGTATTCTAAGAGCAACATTATCAAAGAGATTTAAGCAGTATCTTAGCAAATTTAAGATTTAAATTTAAATCAAAAATCATAATTTTAGGTAAGATACTTAAGATAGGTATCTTATATAAGATACTTTTGGAGGGTTAACATACGTATACGTGGCACATTTTGATTGGATACAGAGATAAATATATAAGGGAAAAAAATAACTTAGTTTTTTTCTTTCTTTTTCTCGCGTTGCGAAACAACAATATCACCGACGACCATCATCTTTTTTTTGTCAACCGACGACCACCATCTTATGTATGTTTTAAATTTTAAATTTTGCTATAATTATAAAATTTCTCAAATTACAATTTTTAATTTAATTTAATTTTTAAATAATTTTATTTTCTTTTTAAGATATCCAGATGAAAATGAACGAGATATGTATACTCAGTTTGATGTCACCGAATTTCAACAAGCGGAAACTGTCGAAAGTACAAGAATGGATTTCTCGTATGATACATATATGCCTTCAAATTTCGTCGATCTGATGGCCGCTAGAACTCGACTTCGGGATCGAGCTAAGCATGAACAATTGAATAACGATCTGGTCAAACATATTTGGAGTAAATTTTCACGTTTAAATTTATTGTACTTTATGTTATAATTTCTCTCTTATGTATGTTTTCAAATTCTAAATTTGCAATAATTATAAAATTTTCTTAAATTACAAATTAAAAAAAATTTTCTAAGATACCCAACTTAAGATCCTACCAATAAACACATTTCAAAACTAAAAACTTTTAAACTCAACTTTTTCAAATTTAATACTAATTAATTCTAAGATACCCTAATTAGCATACTACTTATAATGTTGGTCTTAGATAATTTACCAGTTCTCCCAATAAAATAATATTTTCATCAATTTTCTATCTTTAATACACTTTTCTATCATGTATATGAATTTGTAACCCGTGAGGGTTAGGTTACGTGTGACAAAAGAAAACTATGTATTTTCAGGAAGAAACCAAAGATATCACTCGTTTGAAACTCCGTGGGCGGAGACGATGACCAGAGCCATTACTCATCTCAGATGAACCATCAATGGCTAATCCTTTACCGCCAAAACACAAGTATCTGTTCATAAAAGATCCCTGTTTCTTCATCGCTGGTGTTCTTTTCCCTAATTCCGAAGAAACCGTCTGAAACGGCGACGAGCAAGCCGACGACGGAGCTCGAGAGTAATCAGAAACCGCCGGAGGCGAAAACACGAACCTCGGCGATTCCTGAACCACGACACCTTTCATTAGCCCTTGAGTAAATTTCAATCTCGCGGATAAACTCGGGAGATCACCACTCTCTGTTCTCATCGGAAACGCTCTTCCTCTGTTACAAGACGACGGCGAATACATCTCTCTGAGAGGAACACGGCGGTTGTTGTTATCTCCGGAGAAACGGCGATTCTCCTCCGACTCTTCCCTCTTCGCCCACCGTAAAAGAAGCTTAAGTCGCGCTCCCGTGCCCCCGCCACCGCGGCGTTTGCGTTTTGAATGCGTCGAGATTTCAGTGGAACACTCACTGATCCCATCAAAACTCTCGAGAGAGTCTGGACTTAATTCAACGGTTTGATCTGTTCTCGCCGCCGTGAATAGAAAAATCTCAGAATCAGATATCTCAAACGATGTTCCTGGACTACCGCAGAATCCATAACGCTCTTCTCTAAACCGCGAAACGTTCTCACCGCAATTTGATCTCCCACCGGCGGATACAAGCCGTTTGATCAACAATTCAGAAACCAGCGTTTTAGGCGTTTGCCGTTTAAGCAAATCAACGGCCGTCATTGCATATGAATCAACGACGTTAAGATCAACGCCAGGGATTCTCAATAGACTCTCTACGACGTCGGGTCTAACGGCGTTAAGGTTATCCATCACAGCTAGATGAATCACAGTTCTCCCGTTACAATTTTTAACGTTGACAATCTCAGAAAAGTCAACGGAACAGCTTCTTCCTACTCCTCCTGTGACTAACTTGTTCAAAAGCTCCATCTGCCGGTCTAACCGCTTAAACCCAGACGCAGCAAAACCAGACACGACCGTGTGAAGAAACGTGTCACCATCGCCGTTAACAACGGATATCAACGGTGGAGATTCGTTGATTAGAGCCTCCACTACATCTAAATGACCCTTGTACGCAGCTATATGTAAAGCTGTGTTTCCATTACTATCTTGAACATCCATGATTGAATCATACTTGGATACAAGATACTTCACCACCTACATTAGATTATATCCACAGAATTAGTATTATGCATTAATAGTAATATGTATATGATTTGTGTTCTTACTTACTTCGATTTGAGCTCTGCTAGAGGCAGAGTGTAACAGAGTAGAACCATAAGCATCCCTGAGTTTTGAAACGGCGTCGTATTTGCCAGAGAGTAAGAGTAGATCGAGGATTGTCACGTGTCCGCCTCTCGCGGCACTGTGGACTCCTCTTTTAACCATCTCCTCTTTCACTATTAACTGTTTCTCTGTTAATTTTTCGCCGTCGATTTCTTCGACGCCGGCGATATTAGCTGGCAACAAAGAGAAATCAAGAATGAGACGGAACACGTCGTCGTTTCGGCCTCGGGCCGCCGCGTAGAGGATATCGGTGACGCCGTATTCTCCTTCTCCGAACACGAGGAGTGGATCCCTCTCTAGAAGTTTTTTTACGAATTCTAAATCTCCGGCGGAGGCGGCGGTGTAGAGCAGCCAACCACCGTAGCCAGCTCTGATGAGGGAATTATCTCCGTTTCCGATTTCGCACTCTTCTAGTAGTCTTCTAGCGACGCGGGAACGGTTTAAAGCCACTTGGCAGTTATTTCCGTCTCCGTCGTCCCAGACGGTTTCGAGGCGGCGGATACGGCGGAGGGAAGTGAGTTTGACGAGGAGGTTTGTGTCTTGGTGAAGAAGCTCGATGACAACATCGTATAGACCGTTCGCGGCGGCGCAATCGATCGGTGAAGCGTACCACCACTGGTCTCCGGTGCTTTCCCACCGGAGAGGAAATATCGGCGGTGGCATTTCCGGTTAAGATAAATAACCGGGTCTTCTTCTGTTTTCGTAAACCAAAATCAAAGAATCTCAAAGAAAAAAACAGAGCATACGTGAAATAACGAGAAAACAGAGGAAGTAGATTACAAAGAAGATCAATATGAATGGTTTGAAATCAATAGAGATTTGTTTACGACGAACACAAAGTGATGAAGCAGAAGACAACAAAAAGGAGAAGTCTTGAAGATTGTGTTGTTGTGGCGAAGACGAAAGTTTTACGTGTGTGTTTCCACAAAAAGGAAAATAAAAATAGTATTTTTGGGAGCATCGAAGATTTACAAGATTCCATTCCCGTGAGTGGACCATATCTGACGGGATTAAAAGTTTTTTTTTTTTTTCATGATCTTTAAATGATTAAATAGTTTGATTTTCCAGAACGAAAGAAGTATGTGTAAGACATTATTCTGCAGCAAGAATTTTTGTTATGATTTTTCGAGAGAATTACATTTCAGTATCGCGTTTTGGTTGTATTTTTTCAGTAAAAGTGTAAAAGTTTTTTGAGTATTGGAATATACAATAATTGAATGATGGATGTTTCATCTAATTAGAGGCGTCGCTTGTTTTGTTGAAACCAGAGGTTGAGACTTAAGATATGAATATACAAGTAGGTTTTGTACTTTGTGCACAATAAATCGACATGTAAATAGCTCTAATGATTAATCTGAAAAAAAATGTAGACCAAAGATTAAGTGCCCACTCGTGGCACTGTGGCAGCTGCCAGCTAGCTAACACTTGAGGGCCCTTAATAATATCTGATCAATAATTCATTAAATAAGTATAATGATTTGTAGTTAAAGCTTAACCATCATCATTATGTGGTTGAAGAAGGCTGTACTCAGTTTATGAAAAAAATTCCTTGAGAAAAATATTTTTTTTGTTCTGTTAATTAGGCCTTGGGGTAATAATATGGATCTACCTTTCTGTCGGTGTGGAGTGTGGACGCATCCCAAACGCACATGCATCTGTCTCTAAACTCAATGCTTATAATAAAGAAGTTGTTTTTGCGTTATTTCCCTCTTGTATCCCGAAGTATTCTCATGCGTATAATCTTGTAAGACTGGATCCTCAGACGTCTCAATAAAGAGACCCTTAAAAGATGTCGAGTCAGAGCAGACAATAAACACAGTCTTTACTTTCAAGATTGTGTCAGAATCAATCAACTCCAGACTCACAGAGTTACAAATCTTAACAGCTATTCTTGTGTTTGAAATACTAGTTTCTTACCAGTTACCAGAGTACTTGAAATCTACACTACAATGTGGTTGAATGAAGAACACAAGGAACATTTTATGCATGATCTGGTCTTGTCTTCTTTATAGAGCCTCAAGTGCCCAAATTCTCACAATTTACAATCTCCTTATGCAACAGTGCACAAATTGTCTAACTTCTCTAAACCATACCGCAATATAGAGGTAAGATGCTGCAAGAAATCACAGGTCCAGCCGTCCAGCCATAGTAAAAATCTCACTTTACAGGTGCAGTGAGTTTCACAGTCTTCATGATGTGTTCGATTCTCTCAGCGGATTCGTGCATATTCTTCTTCTTGACCTCTTCCAAAAGCAGCAAACAAGTCCTGTGCCTCGGTGTGATATCTTGGCTAATCATCTCTTCGAAAAGACAATACGCCCACTCACATATATTGGCTCTGCATAACCTCTGTATTAGAAAAGTATAAGTCGATTCATCAAGGCTGAGATGATGTTTAGTCACCATTTCTTTCAATAATTTCCCAACCTCAACTACATCCCCTCTCTTAAAACAAGATTTCAGCAGCGGGTGATACGTATGAACATCGGGATTACAAAGCTTTGAGCTTTCCATTTCCTTGAGAAGCTCTATCGCTTTATGTTCCTCATCGTGATGGCAGTACATAGCGATCATGGAGTTATAGGTAGATGTATTAATGGAAGCACCAAGTTCTGGCATCTCAACTCTAAAAACCCGCTCAGCTTCTTCTAACCGACCAGCTCTAGCAAGTGTGTGAATCAAACAGTTGTAGAAAAGAGTATCAGGTTGACAGCCGGATCTTTTCATCCTTGTAGCAACCCGTAATGCCTCCTCAAACTCTTTCTGTGCATTAAGAGAAGCCATAATAGTTGTGTAAGTAATGGAATTCGGAGGAGACCCATTGGCTTCCATTTCACTTAGCATCTCATAGACCTTAACAAACTCAGACTGCTGGCAGTAACACCTTATAATCGTTGTATAGCTAATAACGCAAGGACGGAATCCATGGCCTTTCATCTCTTGGATCGTCCAAAGAGCCTCCTCGACTCTATTTGCCTTACACCAACCGTGAATGAAGATATTAAACGTATGAGCATTTGGTGTAATGTGCGACTTAAGCTCTAGCAAAATGACTCGAGCCTGCTCGACTCTTTTCTCCTTGCAAAGCGTATCGAGCAGCAGATTCATCGATTCCGTGTTCTTGTCCAATCCAAATTCACCCAATTTATCAAATATTGCCACTGCTTCTTCCCATTCCCCTGCACCGGCAAATCTCCTCATGATCTTAGCAATTGTGTTCAAAGTAACGAGTTGATCTCCTCTCAATCTCTCCACAAACTCCTTCATCCGATCCCATTTCTTGGCCTTGCCAAGAATATCCACGGCCATATCGAAAGAATCATTGGAGTGTCTGTGCCCTCTACAAGACTCAGCCCATTTCAAAACACCAAGCGCAGATTTCCAGTCATCTCTAAACCTATGAAGCAGCTTATGAACCAAACCATCAGAGAGATGAACTCTGTTACAGGCTTCATCATTAGATAGACGATCAAAAACCTCATCTTCACTGTCTCTATCACCAACTCTACCAACAATTACATTCCATATCTCCTGTGACGATTCATCTAGTGCCTCAGGTAATTGCTCTGAAACTGTAGAGAGATTCTTGATGACCGTAGTGGGAAGAGAGGTGGGAACCCAAGGTTTAAGACGTAGCAAGGTGTTTCCAATGCGCTTTTGAATAAGCAAAGACATCAGGGGATTCTAAAACCCAGAATCTGAGGGTCCTTCAACTGCAATACTGAATGATTGATACATGGAACTCAAATTCACGTACCTGAAAGCTGGGGGCAAAGGGGAAATTGTGAGAACGGCGGCCGGAGATAATTGACGAGGACTAATCTCGATCGTAGACAAGGGTTTTTGGGTCAAACGTGATGGCCCATTTAAAGCCCAAATACAGTTTGGTTTGAAAACCGGTTAGGCTCTGGTTTTGCATAAATGTTCTAGCAGAGTAGCAGTCATGGGAAAACCGATGGATTCTTGCTTGTATTGTTTGGAACGAACGTCGAAGTTTCAGAGAAAAAAGGCCAAATCTTAGCCAAAATAATGTAGGAACTGAGATAAGCTTCATGCGTCTATTTACATTATTAATCTTCTAATCCACCCATTAACAAAGCTTACAACCCTGCTTACATAGTTACGAAAAAACTTAGAAATAAAATCTAAGAACTTAAACGCGAGAGACGACCTCGGTAAAATGAAGATGAAGAGAACACTTGTCTGAGAGAAGAGGGATCAAACAGTGCAACTTAATGTTTTCAGTGCACAACAAAAACATACAAGAACTAAACATATATATATAGATAATGGCAGGTTCCATAAATATTTGTCAAGAGAGAAGAGGGATCCCTCTCTTCCAGAGCAACTTCTGAACAATCACAGCCATGGAGCTTTTTATTTCTTTTACGGGAGCAAAAACCAAACACCAATAACTTGTCGCTTCTCAATTCAATTATCCCGCGGAACAGATAACCCCTTGGGGAGGGAAATCAGAGAAAAACAGAGAGATGTAGACTCGTTAGTTAAGGTTTTTTTGGGTTTCCAAGTCCGGAAACAAATACAAATTTGTTTTTATTTATTTATTTATTAAAGAAGTAACAATTCACATATATAATATATACCAGGTCGTCATCAAGATCTCTCACGAGTTGTCTGAATGCTTCCTTGGAAGCCTTGGACCTTTTTAATGACTCCGACATATCTGAGGTATGCACAAAAGGAAGCAATCACCAACTTACTGAAATCCTATTAATAATCTCAGAAGCTAAACAATAAACGAAAAATCTCCTCAACAATAAATAATTACCCGAGATAAGGTAGCACGAATATCCAAACAATACAGATGCAGCTAAACTCTTCAACTCACGCAGAACTCTTCCTCCGTCCCACGACCCTGCAATCAATCAAAAGAAGAATTATTAAGAAAACAAATACTCGATGATTCAAAATTTGAATGCGAAATCAGACAACTTTACCAGCAGGCGGTGGAGAGATATTGCGAGACCCCATGGACGATCTCCATCCGCGAGTAAATACGGATCTCAGATTCTGCATCATCGTGACAAATTAGGGTTCGCTCTCGAAATTGCCGTCTCTGATTTGGTCTTCTTCATACATCAAATGGGGGAAAAATTAATATTGTCTCCAAATACATTAAATGGGCCTGAAAAGATACTTTAATTATTTAAGGCCCATAAGATGGGGATTAAGATCCTGTAAGAAAAGGGAGATAAAAAGAAAACGACAGGCCCATTTGATGTATGAAAGACAATATTAATTTAAATTTAATGAAGACCAAAATCAGAGACGAGGAGAGCGAACCCTAATTTCTTTACAAATATGCAGAGTCTGAGATCCGTCTTTGCGCAGGTTTACCGCGGAGGGGGATCATCCATGGGGTCTCGCAATTTCTCTTCACCGCCTGGTAGCACTTCTGGTAACGTCGTTATCTGATTTCTTATCCATCAAAATATTCTCTAGTCTGTATATTGATTTTGTGATTTATATAGGGTCGGATGGACTTGCAGTGCGGTTGTTAATTCATGGAACAGCAGCGGCTATGGGATATTTCATGGGTATGGAGAGCGAGAGCCAGATATGTTTTTTTTGGGGTTTTTTAAATTCTAATATTCTTCATCGGATAAATAAATCAGTCAGCTTTATTTTGTGATTTGTTTTAAGGTCCTTATATAACTGACCACGAACCAGCACGTGAGGAGCTGCGTAAAGAGGTAATACAAAAAAATTCAAATTCTTGAGGGGGAGACGACGTACGAAGCAATTTATCTTGTCATCATCTTTGATCTTCTGTTTTGTTTAGAAAATGAGAAGGATTGAGGAAATGAGAAGAAGAAGAAAGGAAAGAACAGATGTTGTCCAACATGGCAGACCGTCATGAGAGAAGCAGAAAGAGGGGGTATATAAACATACTCATAGAAACAACAAGTTTGTCCAATGACATTGTGACCGACCATTTTATCTTTGATTTCTGTGTGTTTTAGGTAGTGAGGGAATCTGAGGAAAACTTCATCAAGGAAACGATAATCCTAGTATCCGGTCATGTTCAGAGGATATTGGGTTTACCTTTTTCTGTGTGTTGTGTTTAGTGATTTCCTGTAACTGCTCTGGCAGTAGTACGAGACTCTCATGAATTATTATAACATATCCGGCGTAATTAATAACAACCAGTTTAAAACATGTTTTCTAAAACAAATTGCATTCATTCCTTTGAGCTGCAAATTTTTACTTGAGACGGGTCATATCCGGTTATGAGCTACACTGAATTAAGGGAAATCAGAAGCTGCCTTGTAAAAATTGCCTCCATATTTCCTCTCAGTTCTGGATGTTTTTATGTATGTGATATGCTTCTCAAAGGCTTCGGAGTTTGGATGGGATAGAGATCATGGAAAATCTAATGAACCCAAGGTATGTCCCGCCGTGCAGATCAGATTATGTACATAGCAGAGAAGACAAAAGCTTGATTGGAACTTCAAACTTGATCGAGAGAAAACACACAAGAAGCTTTTTACGTGATCATTAAAATTATTAAATATTATCAGTTACAACAATTCCAATTCCAAAACCCAATTGTGCGATTTGCTTTTGTTAAAAAGGACACAGTAACAGAACAACAATTGTCTCTAGAGAAATTCTCATCTTCTTACTTACTCTTGGTGGGGTACCAATGGTTTGTAACGAGTCCAGTTCATGTGGCCCCTTTTTCAGTTAGATCCCTTTCAATGGTAATCCCATACCTTTTTGGTTTCAAACTCAAGAGCTCGACACAGAGAGACATTGATTTCTATTCTCAAGTTATGAAGCATTTGTTTATCTACTGATTGAACTAGATAGCGAATTTGCAGTGGCTTCTGTTTTTACCTAATTGAAACCACCCCCTGTTATTTGAGATGCATTGTAAGTTTGTAGCGATCCTTTGCACCGTGTACTGTACCCATCTGTGCTACCTGTTAACAACGTGATTGCATGTTTCAATGTCAAAGCATGTTGACAATGCATGTATAGTTCCCCTACTACATCGTTAACATATAACATTCATAAAGACTTCAAGCTCTATACTGGCACTAAGAGTCGCCTAGGAAGTCAAGAAAGTTGTGTTCGTTCTTTCATATCCTTTAAGCAAGATATTAACCACATATTTCTAAATTAGTTTCCTTTCAAGACTGGATTTAATTCTGCTTAGTTACCAACTTGGGCATTAACTGGACAAGGCTATCCAAACCTCTGTTGAAGTAGGTTGAAAGACTCATTCGACTCTTATTCTTGACTTGACTGAGTCATATAATCATGATGTGAGTGTGAACTAACAAATAACAATCTTTGATTGTTTACATATTCATTGACTATGCTAAAACCTTAAACTCAAGTAAACAAAAGTTTGAATGGATATTACAAAGCAGTTTTCCTGAATATATAATAGTAACTGATCGCATGAATCATACAGTGAGTTGTATTGTAAAATAATATTAACATAATAACTATAGCAAGAAGTTCAAATACTTATACTGTATATTTTTGATTAGCTGTTGCACGGGAATGAAAATCTCATTAGGACAAAGCCTCTGAGCTATGCGCAAGTCAGCTTCAGTCCGTTGCTTTAACAGCTTTAGTTTATAGATAAAGGTCTCTCCACAAAAAAAAAAAAACAAAAAAGGCATCAAAACTGACTCTGTATTTTCAAATGAACTGGATAATCAGGAAATATTGTTATTAGATTATCTTCTAGTAAGACAATTGTCCAGATTCATGTAACTACAGATTTATCTACTCGAAAAAACAATTCTCAATAATGGTTAATAAGAAGGGAAAACAGATCTGTCACCGAGAAATCGAAAAATTTGGAGCCACTTAACATGTTCTCCCCTTCTGCCAGACTGTGGTAATGTCGAATCCAAGAGTTATTACATAAGCTTTAGTCCACCTGTTACTTCATCAACGTTATCAACCGGTCATGCAGTCTCTTATTAAAATATTCAACTTGTATCTACAATATATGATATTAGCTACTATTTAACTCATCTCCTCTCAAAGATGATAATAATTTTACCAAGACTAGCCATTACTGTCCTTGAATCTGAAAAAAAAAAAAGAACAGAACAAGTAGCACATTAGATTCTTCTTTTGACAGACTATTGTTAGGTAGGATTTAAGGTTTGAGAGTGGCTTGATTTCCAGATGACAGTAACTATGGAAACTCAGTTGGAGTGATCTATGTTTTTGCGGCATCAACGGTGATATGAGTTGGTAGTTGAAGGGACTTCGCTCTTTCCTGCTGGTAAGAACAACATAGTTCTGAAAACAGAATCATCTAAACAATCAATAAGATCTTATTACTTTTTCCATCTATTTTGTAAGTTACCCACACATGTTGAAGTTACAATCTGCAATTCTTACAATATTTCTTCAGCAATAAATCAATCTTAGTACACCCACTTGCAGAACTAGCATCTCCTCCTCACTCTCGATTTTGACTGAGCACAATATTCCCATCTGTTAATTTCGTCTTTAGCCTATAAAGAAGACGAAAATTGTTAATTTCGATTGAGGAAATATTGTTAATTTCTTCTTTGTAATGTTCTCTTCCTAAACATAACCAAAAATTGTTAATTTCGTCTTTAGCCTATAAAGAAGAAAATAGTTGTAGTAGACTATATAACATGTGATGTAACCTGTTCAAGGCTCATGCTGGCCGTTGAAAGAGTATCTGGTATAAACCAGAAGTTGCATGAGTTATTTAATGCAAACCAGAAGAGAGACTATCCAAAAGTTGAATGACTACTAAAAGCCAAAAGAGAATTGTTAATGACCATCACCTGCACTAAGCTGCAATCTTCACTTTACCATGTTAATATGATTTGTATCAACTTACATCTTTGATCCACAGGGAAAATCTCGTCAAAACATATTTTTTGCCAGATTTGCTTGGTATATAATGCTAAAGATATAGAAAGATTTCATTTCCTATATGTTTGAAGCGGATGTGGTGAAATATTTATAAGACATATCAACATGCAAACACAGGTTATCATGTATGGGAGGGTACTAAATAATCAGCAAAACACATACACTCGGAAACATTTAGAGAGAGAAATGGAATTGCGGAAACGCCAAAACCACAAAAATCTAATATTAGAACAATTTCTCCAACATGTAACAAAAGGCAGGCCTAGTTTCACTCAAAAACAGAAATTATACCGGCTTTACATCGCAAAAACAGAAATTATTCCCTAAAAAAAGGACCACAACGAGGTATATATGACACTGCAAATTTGTGCAAGATGGCTGCTTGCTCCTTGGTGAAATGTGTCCTGGATGATTGCTCTTGCATAAACTTGACCAAAACATCCTGCGTTTTAGTTATCTGAATAACCTTATCATCAAGATTTCTAAAAGAAAGATAGAGAGAATCAAGTCCCTCTTTCAGTAAACTCAAAGATACACCACGACCAGCCCAAATGAAACTAACAAGCGCAGCAATCGAGGCCCAAACAATAGCGCCAAAAACTTTCGCAATCTTCTCCGCACCTTCTTTCAGACCATAAGTTTTAGACTCTATCTCAATGGAAAATAACCTAGAAATAGCTGAATCCATCCAACTGGCAATTGGCCCATAAGAATCTCCAATACACTTGAATCTAGAACCTAATTTGAGCAAGAGGCTATAAAGACTTAGGACAGAAACTGATTTTTCAGAGATATCAATGCCAACTGGTGAAAATTGGTTCTTCTCAAACAAAACAACACTCGTTTTCAGAATTGGAATTGGGAGAAAGTTTGACAATGCAAACAGAATGAGATACAAAACCCTTAACTTCACCATTCTGGTCAACAAAGAAGACTTGTGAAGAAATAAGAATTTTTGAACTCACAGATCTGAAGAGTTCTAAACAACCACCACCCAAAGAAGGGACCAGCATATAAGCTTTCAAACCAGAATGGAACCGGGTAGTTGGCACTGCAAATCTCGAGACAAAGGGAGACGTCTGGTACGCTGCATTCCACAGAAGATATATAAGACGATTTCTACGAAGATCTCGATAAATAAATTAGGGTTTTGCCTACTGTTCAATCTCAGATATTAGAAACGCCTTAGAAAACATACCTGACTGAAACTCATAGGGGTTAGCGAAAGGAGATGAACGGGATCTAGAACCGTTGGGAGAAGCTTTTGTACCATCAGACTGAGGAGAGTACCGAGATATGAAGCCATCAGTGTTCAGGCCAGGAACTGGAGCAAAAACACGAAACTGGAATCGACTGAAAGAAGCTCTTAAAGCGAATCTCGAAGACCTAACAGAAGAGAGGAGTTTCAGATTAGTTTGCAACATCGAGATGCAAATTTAGGGTTCCTCGCACTATCTCAGATTTTTGGGAGGGGGGGGCAAAATATTAGATTGATATTTTGTTCGGTATTAGAAATGGATCTTAATATCTATTGGGCCGTGGCCCAATATAGTAAAAGTACAATACAGCAAATGGGGAAGAAACAAAACTTACTAATTCTCAGAGATTCGAACAATGTAGAAAATGTAAGAACGAAAGCCAATCAATTATATTTTGAAAACAAATAGAAATCTACATACATGCTTATAGATCGATGGAAGAAAAAACAAACACACATATATAACATATCTCTCAGTAAAACAATATCAAATCCTTCGATGGAAGAAAAAACAAACACACATATATAACATATCTATCAGTAAAACAATATCAAATCCTACGATGGAAGAAAAAACAAACACACATATGTAACATATCTATCAGTAATACAATATCAAATCCTACATACATGCTTATAGATCGATGGAAGAAAAAACAAACACACATATATAACATATCTATCAGTAAAAGAATATCAAATCCTAATGAAATTTGATGATCAAGCACTACATAGACCGGTGGAAGAAAACTCAATAACAGATCTACATACATATCATCAAAACAAACACAGATCTACATATATAAAACGAATCTACATATATAAAACGAATCTACATATCTATAACGAATCTATAAGCAAAAGTGTTATCACATACCAAAAGAAATCTTGAAGATTAGGTACTGCATGTAGGCTTGTAGATCAGTGGAAGAAAAAAACAAGAGCAGATCGAAATATGTACTGCGCATAGACTTGTACTGCGCATAGGCTTGAAGATTAGATTTGACTTTTGTAAAATTGTGTCAGAGACGGACCCTATATATAGTAAATCGAACTAGGCGTTAGGGTTTTCTGTGCAAAGATGGGCCTTTTTAATGGGCTTTTCCAACCGGTCCAGGTATCACCCTTTCAATTAAATTAAATAAGTTTATCCTCCAAAACATTTTCTTTCTTTTTTTGGTCAAATCTTCCAAAACATATAATCTCATGATTTACAGTTTTTTTAGGTTAAGAATATTTTTAGTTGTTTGAGATAATTATTATTTGAGTTAGAATTTCTTATACGTAGTTTCAGTCCAGATTACGAGATTCCTCTGTAAAACAGTATTTTTTTGGTAGATATTGAAGACAAAAGTAAAAAAAGACAAAAACAACAAAAGAAAGTAGGATGTCTTGAGTTGACTAAACAGTTGGACTGTACTACTGTTTGGACAAGAGGATTTGTACTTTTTGCGTCATCGGTGTACTTCTTTCATTTTAAGACCACATTTGTACTTCAATATAACAATTGTACGTTTAGCTTTAACCTTTTTTTGTTGCTTTTTTAAGTTACATAGAAAAATAAATCGTTATGTATTTTGAGTAATAAATATTTCCCATTGAGTCTATTCACTAATAACATCTATACAAAGAGCAGAGAACTAATCAATTCAAGAATGTTATTTCAAAGTCCACTGTAACTGCTCTGGCAGTAGTACGAGACTCAGGAATTATTATAACATATCCGGCGTAATTAATGACAAGACAACCAGTTTAAAACATGTTTTCTAAAACAAATTGTATTCATTCCTTTGAGCTGCAAATTTTTACTTGAGACGGGTCATATCCGGTTATGAGGTACACTGAATATAGAAAGTAGTCGGGTCGTAGGTGGATAAAAGAAGAACAACAACGCAGAGCCCTTTTGAAGAGCTAACCCTAATCTCCCTCCGCGGTAAACCTGCGCAAAGACGGATCTCAGATGATTCTGCATCGTAATAAATTAGGGAGAATTCTCCTCCTCTCTGATTTCTTCACAAGGGGGATATTGATATATTATGGTCTTCATCAATTGGGCCTGCCGTTTTTGCTTTTCATACTAGATCCTAATCCCCATAAGGCCATATAACAAATGGTTTATGAACTCAAGATTTTAGATTTACGAAACTATTGCATTGTTAAGACGCATTTTAGATTTGTAAGATAATCAGAATGCGTATGAAACTATTACATTGTTAAGACGCATTACAGATCAACAATTTTTTTAACGAATTTCCTTATGCTTTAATTCTTATCATGTTCTGAGTAGAGTAGTATAAAACAAAAGGCGACATAAAAGACTTCATTAAAACATCGGTCTACAAAGCTCCCACCACCTCGCATGAATGAGACTAGCAAAAACCAAAACACGAGAAAAAAGAAAAAGGTTCCAAGTTCAAAGATATTTTATTTTAAAAAGCGACAAATTCAGACCAATTTAGGGATGAACATATGACTTTCCACTCCCCATCATTCGAAATCTGCTTCTTAGATTTAGGCTTTGGACATGTGGACGATCAAATCAACCACACGGGAACTGTAACCCCATTCGTTGTCGTACCATGACACCAATTTCACAAACTTGTCGCTCAATGCAATTCCGGCCTTGGCGTCAAAAATGCTCGACCTGTTGTCACCAACGAAGTCAGTTGAGACAACATCATCTTCGGTGTATCCAAGGATTCCCTTTAGTTTGCCTTCAGATTCCTCCCTGAATATTGCCAGTAAAAAACACTTGGTTAATACTTTGATCACTACTGGAATATAAGGAAATTTTTTTTTTTTTTGTGTGTGTCCAAAAGCTTACTTGATAGCCTTTTTGATGTCGTCATAGGTAGCAGCTTTCTCGAGTCTGACTGTAAGGTCAACAACTGAGACATCAACGGTTGGAACACGGAAAGACATACCGGTCAACTTTCCGTTAAGGGCTGGAAGCACCTTTCCCACAGCCTTGGCAGCTCCAGTGCTGCTGGGAATAATGTTGAATGAGGCAGCTCTTCCACCTCTCCAGTCCTTCATTGATGGACCATCAACAGTCTTCTGAGTAGCTGATGTAATAAACCAAATCCATTAGCTCCCAATATGTTCACATATAGGTAGGTAGTTTGTATCAGCTTAACTGAAGAGGGAGAAATTTACCAGTGATTGAGTGGACGGTAGTCATAAGACCCTCAACAATTCCAAACCTGTCGTTGATAACCTACACAAAGAAACCAAATATGGTCAATGAAAATAACTCACATGAAATTTGAAACAGTAAAAAAATATTTTAGACTATGAGATATGATACCTTGGCAAGGGGAGCAAGACAGTTAGTGGTGCAGCTAGCGTTGGAGACAATGTCAAGGTCTGACTTGTATTCGTGCTCGTTGACACCAACAACAAACATGGGAGCGTCTTTGCTGGGGGCAGAGATGACAACCTTCTTGGCACCACCCTGAACAAACAACAAGTCACACAGTTAGATCAATGAATAGAGAGTAAGCAAATTCTATCACGTGAAACCATTTCTATCAATAATAGACATTAAATATCAAAAACAAACAAGACAAACCTTCAAGTGAGCAGCAGCCTTGTCCTTGTCAGTGAAGACACCGGTAGACTCAACAACGTAGTCTGCTCCAGCCTCAGCCCATGGGATGTCCTCAGGGTTCCTTCACGAATACCAAAAACAAAATGAGATTGTAATTTACAACAGTTTATAACAAACGAGACAGAGAGAACCGGTCAAAAGATGTACCTGATGCCGAAAACAGTGACTGGCTTCTCACCGAAGAGAAGGGTCTTCTCATCCTTGATCTTGAGTTCATTGTGTTTCCATTGACCGTGAACACTGTCGTACTTGAACATGTAGGTCTGCAAGCAATCAAATATAGAACGCAATCAATTAAAACGTTCAAACTCAAATTTATGATACTAAGTTTAATCATTAACAGGCAATTAATAACATAACGGGACACTAAAGCAATTATTAGTTTCTCACATGATCCAACCAGCTAATCAAGATGAAAAGAGAACACTAAACTATTTTCGGATCTGAGCACCAAATCATCAAAACACACATGCATAAACATGAACATATATATGTATATACTATCTTCAAAATCATACGAGATATAAGGAGAGAAGATCAACTAATTGAATCCTATCATCAACGGATCGAAATGATATATAACCAACCCAAGATTGAATCGCCGATGAAACCAAGGAAGAACACTAACCATGTACTCAGTAGTGATGAAGGGGTCGTTGACGGCGACGAGCTCAACATCGTCTCTCTGGAGAACAACCCTAGCGACCAAACGACCGATTCTTCCGAATCCTAGCGATTACACAAACCAATAACTTAGATTCTAGATCCAGATATACGATAGAACCAACAAAACCTATCAAATAAATAAAATCAATCCGAAACTCACCGTTGATTCCGATCTTAATCTTCTTGTCAGCTACATACAAAAAAAAAGCCAAAACAAAATCCGAAAACGATCAGATCAGAAAACACAACATCGTAAAATATCAGTGACGAGCTAAGAGATTCAGAGAGAGGGAGAGGGAGAGGGAGAGAGAGAGACTCACCCATTGTTGAATCGAAAACGAGAGAGAGAGAGAGGTTGAAGATGAGATTCACAGAGAGAGATTTACAGTGAAATAGAGAGTGATGTGGGGAATCCGTGAAGCTTAGTAGGGGCTATTTAAACGAGAGAAGAACGTGGAGGAGGGGTAGGAAAGATCTAGTGGCTGAGAGTTTTTCTTGGGAAAAAAGTCAGATCTGATTCAATATTTTCAACTGAAGTTACCAAATTACCCATGCACTCTCTGCCTCATTTACAGTTGTAAACACATATATTTTGGCAAATGTCGACATTCCTGAGGCCGGACGTGGCGTCTACATCTCACGCGCTGATCTAGAATATTCTTTATATTGCTTCGAATGGTTCGGGTCGGCATGAAACGCAGCGTATTTGGACATGCTGCTTTGCGCCGGCCACTGTTTGACTGCCACGAGTTCACCCGAGATGCCCATTTTAGTAGACGATTTCCACTTTTCTAGAACGTATCGCCCAAATAATATTATTCCAAGAAAACTATAAGTCAATTATATGATAGTTTCCTTATTAAAAAAAAGAAAATTTTAATGTGACATTGACTAAGAATTTGGAAAGTTGATAAAATAGGAACATGTATATTTTGTTAACCTTATCATTAAAAAAAGAAATAAACAGGAACATGTATATTTTGTTATGTGTCTATATGAAAATAATTTTAGTATATACAGTATGTAACTACATGTGAATTCTATCCAAAAAGCCGAATATTAGAAAATCCTTATGGAGGTGGGTTTGGGTTAACAGTAGTTTCGTCAAGATTTTGATTGCCATTATAGGTTTTGATGGCTGGATTTTTGATTGAGCCTGACTTACTTCCTTGTGATCGGTAAAAAGAGTAGTTCAGCGAATCGAAGACTGCTAGTGCTGAAAAAGGGGTTATGTCGAAAGTTATTGGTTTGCTTGGTACGGGAGCTGACAACAATATGCCGTGTAGTCGAAGAGTTGGTCATATCGGGAAATATGTGACAGAATGGTTGGTCGACAGAAAAGAAATCGGATTCTCTGCGTCACTGTGTCAATATGACATAAGTTTTTTTTGGCAATGGCTTGCCAGTTTGCTTTTGGTTACGGTTTCTTTTTGTGAAAATCAAGACACAAATGTTTAATAAAAAACCTTAAAAAAAAATCTTAAACTAATAAATACTCCTCGACAGCTATACTAGAGGTTATGAAATGATTGATCTTGTTTTACTTATAGAAAATTTGAAGTTTGGTTAATGAATAGTTGCAACGTCTCTCAGACGCATATGAAAGAGATGCAGGGATCTATGTAGGCCATTGGATTAATCCATATATATTCATGTGCATGGACTAACAATATATTGAAGTTTTTATCCTTTCTTGGCCTAATGTACGGTATTGGGATTTCTTTTAAACTTAAATATATGGTGTTTAATTGTATCAAAAACAAAAAGCATCGTTTCGAAACAAGTAATTTATTATTTATTAACTACCTCAAATTGTGTACTATTTCTAATCAATAAAAGTATAAAACTAATCATGGCATTTCAGTATTTGGTTGCAAGAGATTATGAATTTATGGTCCATATAGCTTCCTAGTTACCAACAAAAACACTAAAATCATAATTTAAAATGCATTTGATTAAAACGATATCCAGAATACAACGACCAAACTAAAGAAACATAGAAGCTGGTGAATAGTTTTATCAGTTAACATATCACAAATCCTCCAACTTATAAACTTTTCAAGCCAATAAGAAAAAACGAAAAAAAAAAGATCATGACCCATGCAACACTAGAATGTCCACGTCCCATCCGCACGACCAGCATATGAATCAGCACATCTTTTCCCAATGGTGAATTGGTGAGAGAGCCATGTCACATAAATGATCATGTAGCAGAAACAAAAACAGTTATTCAAATACGCAGTAATTAAATATCTCAGTTTAACCAGATTCGTCACCACTAGAGTGGTCACATCCCCAACTACCAGCAGAAGATGAACTAGCACCCCCGTTTCCCGACAGTGAAATAAACATTTCACGTAAGTTATCATGTAACTCAACAAGTGCTCGGTGCCTTCGCTGTGCCTCCTTCATGCTCAAGCCTTCCTGAGGAATGTTCCACCACATTTTGCCCACCTTCTTTTCCTTTCTTGATTTCTTTAGCAGTTTCAGCTTCTCTAGATCTTGCGCAAGCTCCTCGTCGAGTGCCTCCATTTTGATCATGTGGTCCTGGATCCTTCGTTTCTTATAAGCTTCGACGAGCGGTACCGTATCGTCTTTCACAACAAGTTCTTGTCCCCAAGGGTTCTTCAACCTGGCTGCCACTTCATCCATGGACGGATATGCGAACGTATACGCCTTTCCGGCTTGAGAGAAAACCAAGATAGCCACTTCGACGTTGCACATAGCTACGAACTCGTTCATTTTCTTGAAAATCCCGCCTTTACGTTTTGAGAACGTAATCATCCTATCAGCATAGTCTTCAACCTTCTTCATCTCGATCTTTTGCTTCCCCTTTGTTTGTCTTCCCTTTCTTAGCTTCGTTGACATGTTTTGTTTTCCAGAGACCAAAGTGTTTGATTTCTAGTAAGTGTTTTAGTTTTATGTCATGATGATACCATGCATGGGACACAATCTATTTATAGGAAAAGAAGAGATAGACATATACGTTACGAGTTAATAGACACATTAATTAATGTAAATCTAATGAAAGACAGTGTGTCTCTTGACTAATTAACACATTTGACTAAATATTTTTGGCAACCACTTTGACATATTAAAGAAAAATAACATCTATAATTAATCAGTCAACAAACTATTATGGTAACCCATTTGATGTAGAATAAGCTGGTCTTCGAAATGACCATTCATGGAAGAATGCTTTTTACGTTACAAGTTTGAGTAACCCCCTTACTGGGAATGTACATCAGCATGCTTTCAAAATAATAACCAGAAGCCAGTCACTATGTCAAAAGAAAATAAATAACTTCCATATCATAAGGATATATAATATACTCCTTCTGCAAAAATAAGATAAACACTTGTTGAAAAACTCGAAACATTTGAATTCATAAAATGTTTAAGTTCACAAAAACATGTATTACGTTCATGATTTAAAAACGTCAACTGTACATATGGCGACTTTACAGTTTGATATCCAGTATGTCATAAAATTTGGCTGCCATCAAATTCTGATTTTCCAAATTTATATATATCATAAAATACATCTTATTTGTTCTCTTCTCTCATAGGTTAAAGTTAAACTAATATTAAGAATCAAATCTGATGGAAATTTTATGCTTGAGTTGAACATTTAAAAATAGAAATCATCACTTTAGAATTTAAAACCACGTCTAATTTCAACTAATTGAATAAAAATCTTCTTTCTTCTATGAAAAAATTGTAATATCTATAAGACTATTGGTTAGGTTAATCATTCAAAGATATCTTCGTGTTTCCATTAAATAAAAAAGAAAAGAAATATATTCGAGGAGAAAAAGAGCTGTGACAAAACCAAAGCACAGAGGCGAAGTACCTAACCACTACCAGATCCCCAAAAACAGAGAGAAATTTAATCGATTTCTCACGAAAGAAGATGGGTGTGGTGAAGTCGGCGATTGGGGATATGCTGATGACCTTCTCTTGGGTCGTCCTCTCCTCAACCTTCGGAATTCAGACGGCGGCGATTATCTCCGCCGGCGATTTGCAGGGTATCACTTGGGCTCCGTTGGTGATCTTGACGTTAATGATTTTCGTCTACGTCTCGATCTTCACTGTGATCTTTGGTGGTGCTAGCTTCAATCCTACCGGAAGCGCAGCCTTTTATGTCGCTGGTATCCCTGGAGATACTCTTTTCTCCTTGGCCATCAGATTACCTGCTCAGGTACACAATTCTAAGTCTAAATTTTGATTTATTTACTTACTGTTTAACTAGTATCCTGTTCGGGTTTACTTGATTTAGTCAATATCTGTGATCTGTGATAATTTCTTTCAAATGGGTATATAGGCTTGTCTACTAATTTGGAATCTAATTTGTGCATGAATCATTGGATCTCAATCTATTTAGTATATGCTTTATCATGAGATTTGTCCCCACTTGTATGCCCCATTGTAGATTGGTTGAAGTAGAAATCGACTTCTTTTGCTTAGTCTCATCATCGTAGATATTTTGGTACATACGAGTCTGATCTTCTCACTTTGATCTTGTTAGTATAGCCCGATTTGAGTTTTCTTGTAAAGAAGAACACAGAGAATCAAATTCTTTTATTAACTTTTTACGTTTGTTAGGTTTGTTGATCGATGTGTTTACCACTTAATTAAAGTAGGAAAAGAAAACCTTATCTTCTTTTTTTATGTTCTTTAGCTTTATTCTGATTTTTTTGCATGTCCCTGTGGTTCTTTTTATAACATAAAGAGATAGAAAGACACTATTAATTGTAAAAGTTGGTAAACCTGATTCAGCAAGGAGTAATTTGTACTCCTTGGAGAGTTAAATCGAGCAAAATGACTCTTGGCTGGAACAAATCATCCTTCTTTTAACTGATTTTTGATTTTGATATCGTTTTGCCCGAGAAACAAAGTTTCTTATTCGTGGAAAAAATACTTGAAAAGCAAATGTGAAATGTTTTTGGTGTTCCAGGCAGTTGGTGCTGCAGGAGGTGCATTGGCCATCATGGAGTTCATACCAGAGAAGTACAAGCATATGATTTCAGGGCCTTCCCTTCAGGTTGATGTACACACTGGAGCTATTGCAGAAACGGTCTTAAGTTTTGGTATTACCTTTGCGGTTTTGCTAATTATCCTCAGGGGTCCACGGAGATTGCTAGCTAAGACATTCTTGCTTGCTCTTGCAACCATCTCATTTGTTGTCGCCGGGTCTAAATACACTGGACCAGCCATGAATCCTGCTATTGTAAGTATACATTATGTCTCATTCCTTTGCCTGACACATCCAGTATGCATTTTCAGTGTTCACATCATGTCACCCTCTGTTTTTTTCCTCATAAGTCTATTATTTTCTATTAGTTCACTATATAATAAACCACTAAAGACTGTTCACATTGATTAATACTTAATTATGTGCTTCTTCTTGCACTGTCTTATATCAACCTCTCGCACATATTATCATTTGAGCTGTGTATAGATCAGCTACATGTGTCATAGTTGTGTTGCTATTCCTCATTTTTAACTGTGATGCAGATTATTAAACTTTTCTTCGATTTAAAACTAGTCTCTTATAGTCTTTCATTAGGAAGAGAGTGGCCCATAAAAAATCACCTGATAAATTGCAGAAGCAACCATATGGTGTTGTGTCACATTTACAGATCATACGTTTAGTTCCAACACTCTTAAACCTGGGATTATGAATATTGTACCCTCCAATGATCGATAAGCTTTCTATAACCATTTTGTGTTTGCAATGCAGGCATTTGGGTGGGCATACATGTACAGCTCCCACAACACATGGGATCATGTCTACGTCTACTGGATTAGTTCCTTCGTAGGAGCATTATCTGCTGCATTGCTCTTCCGCTCTATCTTCCCTCCACCTCGACCCCAGAAGAAGAAACAAAAGAAAGCTTGAGGAAACCCAATTGTGAGAGTCCACCAGTCAGGTTCTTCACTGGTTTGGCCGGTAGAAAGACTCGCAAAGTTGTTCCATTCTAAAATAAGGAGACTACAAAAAAATGAAAATCAAAGTCTCCTTGTCATTATTGTTTAGATTCACTCGCTTATTTTATAGATTTGTAAGGAGGTAACCTTTTATATATGGTTTGTTCATAAATCATTCTGACCCTCTTCCGGTTTAGAAACAAATCAATTTCTGGATTAGTTTGCTCCTATCGGTTCATTCCTCTAATTTGTTTGGTTTTTTTAGGATTTGTCTGGCATGGTTTTCTTTTCCGGTTTATTTTCTCAAACCGAAATAATTTAATTTTATGTAGCTCTAATTCGCCTTAATATTTTAATATTGTCTTAAACTTTACACTAAAACCAGCTTTTCGTGGATGTTACCCAATTTCTCTTCCGTAATCTTTAAATCATATAAACATATAACGTCTCTGTTTTGGTCCTATCGTTCACGCAAATTCTCCGATTCAGATCTGTGTGGCAGAATTTGAATCGAAACATAGGATCAATCCGATAAGCAACTACAACTTGCAATCGATCGCCGATCTGGATCCGTTAAAGGATCCGTCGCAGTCCTTAAAGACATCGGCGTCCTCCGCCACCGGGAACAAGATCCGTTACCGTTCTCCTTCGGCTTCTGAGCTATTGGAGTCAGGACTAGCCACCGGATTGTCCGGTAACCATTCTCCTACTTCCGACTCTCATCAAGGTCTTCTCTCTATCGACGGAGGGAAAATGACGGCGAAGCGAGCGATCGGACGGCACGAATCTCTTGCTGATAAGATCCATCGACATAGAGGTCTTCTACTTGTGATTTCGATTCCCATTGTGTTAATCGCACTTGTGCTTCTACTAATGCCGGGGACATCGACGTCCGTCTCTGTCATTGAGTACACGATGAAAAACCACGAGGGAGGTTCGACTTCGAGGGGTCCGAGGAATTACGCTGTGATTTTCGATGCTGGAAGTTCTGGAAGCCGTGTGCATGTTTATTGTTTCGACCAGAATTTGGATCTCGTTCCTTTGGAGAATGAGCTCGAGCTCTTCTTACAGGTATTGCATTTCTTTTGCTTGATAGTTTAGCATGTCGGAAATATTATGCCTAAGTTTCGTTTTTTCCGATCGTTGCACCTTTCCTTGGGCAGACGAATGATCTTTCTTTGGCAATGCTAGATCGATCTTAAGCTGTTCGTTATATTTGATTCATATTCTAGTTTGTAATCAATGATGCAATAGTCTAAGGCTCTTAGCTAAGTTTCTGTTGTTGGTTTTGGAAACCTGCTCGGGCTCTGTTTCTATACTTTATCAAATTATAGAAATAGTGGGAAACTTATATGTTGGTTCTTCAAGTTCCAAAATTGGTTAAACTTCATCACCCCTTTGTTCATTGTTTCATTGTACTAATGTTATATGCTTTTTGTTGGCATTTTTAGCTCACTGATAATTTTTTCTCTGAACTTTTATTATATTTCAGCTAAAACCGGGTTTAAGTGCATATCCTAATGATCCTCGGCAATCAGCAAATTCTTTGGTATCTCTTCTAGATAAAGCAGAAGCTTCTGTTCCTCGTGAGTTGCGACCAAAGACTCCTGTCAGAGTTGGGGTATTGGCAACAATTTCGTTTCACACAAATACAGTCAGAGCTATCCATGTTGTCGTCCATTTTTATGCTAATCATTTGTACTGTTTTGCATCATATCATTTCTAGGCAACTGCAGGCTTGAGGGCTTTGGGTCACAAAGCTTCTGAAAACATCTTGCAAGCGGTAATTTTAGTTAATATGTTTTCTTAAAACATTCGTCTGTTTATCTAGCTTTTATACTAAAATAGGTAATTTTGTTATAAGGTAAGGGAGCTCCTGAAAGATAGAAGCAGGCTGAAGACCGAGGCAAATGCAGTGACTGTTCTGGATGGAACTC